AGCTGAACTTCATGCTACTGATCACAACTTTTTGAGCTTGGCAGTTCAGCCAGTTTCAGTCTAGCTTACTGTTTATTTATCTAGTCCATATTCATTGGTTTGTCTATGAGGATGTTATGGGAAACAGAGTTGAAAGATTTTCTTAAGTAGAGAAACACAACATCCACTGCTTTCCCCTCACTCACCAAGCCAGTCATCCAATTGTAGAAGGTTGTCATGTTGGTCAAGCATGATTTCCCTTTCATAAGTCCGTGCAGATAACTTTCTTCTTGTCCTTCTTGTGTTTGGAAATGGTTTTCAGGATTACTTGCTCTGTCACCTTCCCAGGGATCAAGATGAGGCTGTCTGACATGTAACTCTCAGGATTCTCCATCTCATCTTTCTCAAAGACAGGGTCACATTTGCTTTCTTCCAGTCTTTGGAAACCTCCCCTGATCACCATGACCTTTCAGAGATAATCAAGAGTGGCCTCACAATTACATTACCTAACTACTGGGGGCATCGTATCAAAGCCCATAGGATCATGTCTGTCCAGGTTGTTTGAATATTCCCTAACCTGGTCCTCTTCCACTGAGGGTATGTCTTCCTTGCTCCAGGCTTTCTCCCTCATCTCAAGTGCTTGGAACTCCAGAAGGCAAATCCTACCAAAAAAAGATGGAGGAGAAGAATGCATTCAGTATCTTAGGTTTTTCCATGTCCTTTGTCACCAAGTCCCCTGCATCACACATACATTTCCACCCATCTTGCTTTGGCAACTGACATACCTGTAGAAGTCCTTTTTGTTGCCCTTTACAGCCATTACCAGATTCAACTCCAGGTGATCTTCAGCTTTCCTAGCTGTATCACTGCATCTTTGATCAGTGCCCCTATATTTCTGCTCGGGTCATCTGACCCTGCTGCCACCTCTTGTATGTGTCCTTTTTGTGTCTGAGTTTAGTTAGGATCTCGTTGTTCATCCATGCAGGCTAACTGCCACCTTCACTTGATTTTCTGTCTGTCCAGATAGACTACTGGGTTTGGAGGATGTCATCTTACAGAATCAACCAAGTCTTCTGGAACGCTTATCTTTCCAGGACCACTTCCTGTAGCATTCTTCCAAGCAGACCCCTCAACAGTGAAATTTTGCTCTCCTGAGGCCCAGAGCTGTGATCCTGCTTTTTGCCTTATTCCCTCTTTGCAGCATCCTGAACTCCACCATTTCATGATCACTGCAGCCAGGGCTGCACCTGACGTTCACATCCCTGACCGGTTCTTCCTTGTTTATAAGTGTATGAGGCCCAGCAGAGCTCCCCTCATCAGCTCCTTGAGTACCTGTATCAGGAAATTATCATCAATGTGCTCTGGAAACCTCCCAGATTGCTTGTGCCTTGCTGTGTTGCCCTCCACAGATCAGGTCGTTAAAATCCCTCAATAAGGATGACAGCCTGCGAACATGAGGCTTCTTCCAGCTGTGTGAAGAAAGTTTTATCTACTTCTTGTCCCCAGTCAGGTAGCCTGTAGCAGACAGACACCAACTACAGTATTGGTAGCTGTGAGCCGACACTGGGCTGCCCACCAATCCTGACCCAAAAACTTTCACCTGGCCTCACCCAACCCAAGGCAGAGCTCTGTGCAATCCTTCTGCTCTCTCATATAAAGGGCATTTATATAGTCATGGGGAAGACCATAGACTGATAGAGTAGGTCTTCTGCTGGGTGGAGAGGTTTGTTCTGCTTTATCTAGTTGAAGCTAACAATAGCACTAGCTTCCTTTTGTGAAAACATCCACAACCTTTCCTCAGGTTTAAATGTTTACATACTGAAACACTGCCGTAGATGATGTTCAAGACTGAGGTTAAGCTATCAAGTGTTGCTGCCACATACCTTATCTGCTTGATTCCACTCCCATCCTGGGTTCTGTAACACCTTCAGGAAAGCATCAGGACCAGATCCATCTTGATGTAAAAGAATCCTGTTTATTACCTGTTCATTTATCTTTTTGCTATTACTAGAATGTCCTTGAAAAGCAACATCTTAAGATCCCTTTGCCGTGCCTCTTCCAGGGCAAAAAACCTAATTCTTCCAACGTACAATGAGACTGACAAGTTTTCAACTTCCCTTGATGCTTTCATTCATTCCGACAAAAAGCCTTCATTAGAGTGGGGAAAATATATTGATTTCTTGCCCAGCTTAATCACTCCAAGTTCAAGGGACCACAGAGAGGACTTCACTATACTAATTTTATAAATATGAACAAGAGGGGGCTCTCTGTCATTAGGTTTAAGAATCTTAATTTGGGTTTCTCTCATGCTAAGTTTGCTATACTTAGTCTGAAATTGCTCTGCCTTGCTATTCATCTAGTTTTGACATTTATTCATATACCAACTCTTTTCTCCATAGTTCAATAGCACAATTTAGAGAAACTGAAATTCTTTCTTTTTTCTTCCTTTATCTTGCATTTAATTTCCAGATATCCCTGCCATCACTTTGCATAATTATCCCTTCTTCTTAAATCTGCAAAAAATAGCTTTTGTACTGCTCTTATTTTTTCTCTCTTATTTCTGAAACACTTCCTAATATTTTTCATTTTATATAAAATCTCTTGTCATTCCTTTCAGTGTCATCTTAAGTGTCATCTATTTCTGCTGTGTAGTTCTTTCTTTCTTCCTCTTCCTTTCACTTCCTTTACTACGTTCCTCTAGTTCTCCTTTTCTACATACCACCACTATACTTCTAAATTTCTGTATTTCTGCCTCACACAACTGTTCTTCCTTCCCTTAAATTGTTGTCTGTTCTTTTGGTGGTTGTTTTTCCACTATTAATCCTTTCTTTGCTGTTGCATTCGGGATTAAAACAGAGTGGTTTTAAAAGGACAAGAGCAACTCATCGACATCTAGGAGGTTCTGCCTGCTCAGACACAGCACTCTTGTTCTCACCACTTTACTTCTAAGGCCTTTCATGCCACTCTGCATGTTTTTTTGGTGTTTTGGTGTTTGTTTTTTTCTTTTTCTTTATGGGTTTATTAGCATAAACTTTCCTAATCCTGCACTTCCTCTTTTTTTTTTTTCCTTGTTCCCCTGTTACTCCTTGTGCTTTCTCCATTGGTCATTTTGGCATTCTTTTCTTGTGCACTTCCTACTAATTATCATGTATTTTGAATGGGCTGAATGGCTACCTAGGTTTCCCTTTCCTAAATTCTCTCCCTCTCTGTTTCACTTTTTTGCTTAAAGCAGGCAGTAAGACTCCTTCTGTGTGTTGAAAAGATCCAGTCCCAAAAGATCCTTGCCCTGCCCAGAAACAGGGATTGCATCTAGACTGTGGAAGAATGATAGTGCCTCTAGTGGTTTCCCTATATGATGTATCACATCATGATGTGACACAGTATTCTCCAGGCTCAGCTTTCACTGTCCCCAAATGACAGCAACAGATAGATAAGGACAGTCCCAAAGCACCCTCCCTTGCTAATATGCACGTGCACTGTTCTGCTCTCTCTGTCCAGTTTGAAATAAAATCCTTCCTGTACAAACTTACCACCAAACTTACCAGGAGATAGTATACTAGATTTTTCCAAAAACTGAACAGTAGTCAGAACCAGTCTGGCTGATCAGTCTTCTGCTTTGGCTGAGAGATATTGTGTATGTATATTGTTATATCTGAGTGGATGGTTGCATATTTGAGGATACGTACAAGTTCTGATGGCATTTACTATTTGTTTAACAGACCATAACTGCTCTGAAGAAGCCATTATAGTCAATTATGAATCTCTGAACTTAAGCACTTATTGAAAAGTGGATTTATTGACATGATTTATGGAGTCATTAAGTTCTACAGCATAAATCCTTCATATTGACCTTAGTTAGCAAGCCACCAAAGCAGCCATCTCCTCTGAGCCAGTCTCTGACCTGTGCATATATGTTGTCATAGGAACTGTTTTTAAAGTTGCAGAGGAGAAAAATTGCCATGAAGCATCAAATTCTAAGTGTCAATAATATGAGCATCGTAACTCCTTTCTAATTAGTTAAGGGCCTTAGGTTATTTTTTAATTTTCCCTTAAAAATTATAATAATGCTTTGGACTTGTTTGAACTAAAAAATCATGTAAACAGTTCATTTTTACTGATTTATCACCAATAAAGTTTGTACTGTTTTTCTAAATGGAGGAGGATTTTCTGTTTTGGTTTTAATAAAAGAAATATGAGGAGTAATTTATCTTTACTATGTTATATAATTTTGGAGTAGTATTTTTACACCCCCAGCACCTAAGAATCTCCTAAGGATCTCAACACTTGAGTAAGTAGAACAGTTTAGCAGCGTGTACAATTCCTTCTGCTGGCTTCCAAGCTGCTTCTGCACAGCAATAGTATATGACCTTCAGTAAATCCTGCATCTTTAACCCACATGATTCTCCTAGACGATGGTCTTCAGGGACACTGAATATTGTTGCTTTTTTTAATTTTCACACTTGTGAATAAAGGGGTACTTTTTTATTGTAGCCTTTCTTATGACTGAAAGGTTTTTCAAATAATTTTATTTTGTCTGTGTATAAATACCCAGGCATCATTGATATGGGTACTTTGATTCATACAAGTTTTCTTGTAAAACTGGAGTTTCAGCAATAAACTTTAAAACGCATTATTTCCCATTCACTGGATCTGTCTGGGATAGTTTTAACATTTTTCACAGCACCCCACAAGGTGCTGTGTTTTGGATCTGTGACTAAAACTGTTGACAACACATCAATGACCTCCCAGCAATGTATTGGGGGCCCAACCCACTACAGCCATGAGTCAGACTATGGGAAAATCCATCCATTTTAGACAGAACTGAAAACTTCTTGCCACAGACTACACTTTGTGTGACTTGAGTGCTCTCAGTGCTGCATACAGATATTAAATAAGCACAAGGAACCTGTGTTGTATAGCTTTTTCCTATTACAGATTACGTGATCACTCCTAGATGTGTTTGTTGTGGAGATCTGAATGCCTTACTACTTAATATCAGCCTTTTCTCTCTTGTTTTTTAGCCCCTTGTGAAGCAAACACATTCTTTTGCCACAGTAATATGTGTATTAATAATACATTGGTCTGCAATGGACTCCAGAATTGCGTGTATCCTTGGGATGAAAACCACTGCAAAGGTAATGTGTAGAATTGGAAATGTCAAGTCATTTAGACTGTGTGGGATACAGCATATTATCCTTAGTTTCTCGTTAAGTATGTGACAAATGGGTCAAAGCTCAGGAAGAGTAATTCAGGGAGAGCATACATCAAGCAACAGAGAAAACCAAGAGGTGAAAATACCAATGGATTTTACTTTCAGTGTTTGAATTTGGTTTGCTCGGTGTTGGCTTGTGTTGGTTATGTCCCTCTGGCAGGCTTTCTGATCACTTGGTCTCTGTCTCCCTTACAATCTAAAATGTAATTAAAAGTCATATATTGGTTCCTTTGTCATAGTTACCTTTGTAGTGCAGTAACATATGGGTAGCAGGGGTCTTTTAGCTGCATACCATGCCCATAATAGCCCAGGTGGGCTAAAAAGCCAAGGTGAAGTAGGATTAACACTGTGAGAAAGCAACCAAATCTACCTACAACAAAGTGAAACTGAAGAGTAAGGAACAAGCTCAGGAAATGAGGCATAATGTCTATTTTATAGGCAGGGACTGATGTTCCTAACCAGGTGCTGACAATTGTTTCTAGATGTTGCTCTGTGTTTTTGTAAAAAAATCAGCATCTGTGTTGTCTTCAGGGAAAAGAGCTTAAAAAATGAGGTGGATTAGCAGTCAGCCCATAAGTCTGCTGAAGCCTGTAAAATCCTGACAAGCAGTGCAATAGGGTAAAACACAAATGAAAACATACTTCAAAAGAACACAGCAAAATTGTGTCATGGCATAATATTCTTCAAAGAAACTCAACATACGACTGGGAAGTAATTATCTGTTCTGTACTTCTTCAGCACAGAGGAAAACAGAAAACCTTCCCTGCTCTTTAATTTCCAGAATTATTTTAATCTTTCATTTGCCAAGTATCTTTTTACCGGGTCTTGTGCGTTTGTCCTCTCTTTGTTTTCTGACTAGAAAAAGGAGGTTTGGTGGTGCAAGAAAAAAGATTGTTTGCTGCTGTGCTGCTTTTTCTAACCGTGCTACTTCCCCCGAGTTTGTGTCAGTCAGAGAAACCCCAGGTGAATCTACAAGAGTAGGCAATGGGGACTACCAAAAAGTTCATTTTTGGTATGTAGGAGATTATGAAGAAATGGATGTTATTTTTTTCATGCCAACAACTTTAATTTTAAAGGCTTTTTATTAAATCTTTTGATATGTTTTACGTTGCCAGGAAAAATTACACAAAATTACATTCAGTTTAGAGTGTTGAAACTTAATCACAGTTGTCAAGTCTTGCTATATCTGTGGGAGACTGATGCAAATGCTTTCAGTTTGGCTTTCTACAAGGCTCAGTCACCGTCTCACGTGTCTGCAGCCATTTCAAAGCAAATAATAGAGAAACATACAGAACAGTAGGGTGAAACTGGTTTTCTTTTTATTCTTTTACTGCATATTTTCTGTTTTTCTTAATTCACAATGCTGAATTTGCTGGCTAACTTCCTACAGGGCCCCTGAGTAAGGGATATGTCCTGGTTTCAGCTGGGTAGGTAGGATCAGCTTCTGGATTTTCATGGGTGTTTAGAAAAGTTGTGGTAATTAATAGGTCAGGAAGAAAAGAGATAACTTGCACTTTTTTTTTTTTCCTTTCTGAAACCACAATTTGAATAATGGTTCTATTTTCTCCTGGTTTAGCTTTTTCATTGAATACTGTCAACAGTCCCAGTCAGCTCATAAATATCAGGACTTCACTGAAGTTCCCAATGCAAAGAAGAATTTCTTTTTAAATTCCGTAAAGTCTTACTCTTTCATTGGTCCTAATGTCCTAGTTACATATATTTACTGAAAGAGACAGAAAATAATGAAGAGAACATCTGTATCATTCTTGGGGTCTTTAGCAGGCAAATGGAGTTCAGAGGTGACACTAAAGCCATCTGCTTGTTATGGTGGTTGCTTTTTATAAAAAAAGTAAATAATTCTTATATCTAATTAAGCTTGTAACATACCCCGAATAAATCACTTTCCAAGTGAATAGGCGCACAGAGGATCTGTGTGTTGTTTATTTGGCTTTCACAAGTACCTTATTTCTTCCTTTTTTCTTTTTGTCAGTAAGATTGATTATGTGAACTCAGACATAGCCCAGGCTCAGCTTTGCAGTAATCTGTGAACCCATCATGGTTGTTTTTACTCTTGAACTGCAATTAATGCTGTGGGTTTGTTTGGTTTTTTTTTCTCCTGTCACACAGAAAAAAGAAAAGCTAACCTCTTGGACCAACTGACCAATACCAGTGGGACTATAATTGGAGTGACTTCTTGCATTGTGATCATCCTCATTGTTATCTCTGTTATAGTACAGATCAAGCAGCCTCGTAAAAAATTTGTCCAAAGGAAAACAGACTTTGATCAAACAGTGTTCCAGGAGGTGTTTGAGCCTCCTCATTATGAGTTATGCACCCTCAGAGGGACAGGGCCTACAGCTGACCTTGCTGATGTTGCAGATGACTTTGAAAATTATCATAAACTGCGGAGATCATCTTCAAAATGCATTCATGACCATCACTGTGGATCGCAAGTGTCCAGCATTAAGGGCAGCCGTAGTAACCTCAGCACAAGAGATGCTTCTGTCTTGACAGAAATACAGCCCCAGCCTGTAAAACCACTCATTCAGCCCATGAGCAGGAGAAATATCCTTGTCATGAAGCATAGCTACTCACAAGATGCTGCAGATGCGTGTGAGATAGACGAAATTGAAGAGGTACCAACCACAAGTCACAGGCTGTCCAGACATGATAAAGCTGTTCAGCGGTCAGTATCAATAGATTTTTGATGAAGACTTTTGTGTAAGGACTTGATTGCCCAAACATATTCACTCTTTATTCAGTAAAGACATATTTTCTTTCTTCTTTATTTATTGTTTATATTTCTGTTTCTTGATAGCACATACCTTTATATTATCTCTCTCCTCCTGTGTCTCTTTCTCTTATCTCTGCTCCTGGTTCCTGAAGGTTCCTATATCTCAGTTTTACCTTTCTACTTTATATCTTTCTTTTTCTTTTACTATTTTACATATACCCACTTGCATACACACACAGGTCAACAGAGAACAGGTAGAATTTTTAAAGACCAAAGAAGATTCTGAGTGAATCTAGTTTTTGAAAGAGCCACATATGTGTGGTTTCCTTGTAACTGAGGTGGCCTTGAGTATCATCCGCTGTTGGTCTCACATCTCTAAATCAATACATCAACACATAGAAAATATACGTATCCATTTTGATGCATGGCACAATAATGAGAAACATGGTCCTGGGGTAAGGAAACCCCTTTTCTCATGAACCAACTTTATACAATGAATGACAATATTTGCAAAACTTTACTGTATCTGTCTGTTCCATTATTAACCACAGTATCTTGGCTTGTCATATTAACATATATATATAGATATCAATTAGAACATGAGACACCATAGCGAATAGAGAATGTGCACATATTTACATATAAGAATGTAGTTAAAAGGAATCTTTCTAATCAATGAAAAAGTAGTCAGGCATGTTATTTTTAATAAAAAGCTATTCCTACTGTATATTGCACTTTGAATGACTGTAAATATGAACAACTAAAAGTTTACAAGTAAAAGAAAAAGAAAAGCATTAACATTTTTGAAACAATTATTTGAAAATGAACACTGAAACATTTTTTTATATATTTGCGTTTTCTCTTGCATGCATTATTTATGCATTTCTTCTAACTGTTTACATGCCCTCCATATTTTCTTTGCACATTAAGGCATTTCTGTCTCTTAAAAAGAATTAAGTTATTAGATTATTTTAAACTAATTGCATGCCAATGTAAATTACTTCGTGAATATTGATCAGCTTATCAAGGTGTACTGTTTATTAAGTATCTATATGCATATATTTCTTTTTTTCTATGCAAACATTATTATTTTGAATGAAATAGCCATAACATTCCAGGTTCTGCCTCATTGGGTCTCTAAGCAAACATGAGTCTGAGTACAACACAACTAGGGTCTAAGAGACAAACTTGAGGTAAGTAAACATACCTACAACAATTGAACCATCTGTTGCTTTCCATTTTATTTGTTATATTGCTAAAGTGCATGTTAGTTCTCAAGTTATGTCACCTTGTATGGAGAGAGCCAGGTTTGAACACTGAGAAAACTGAAAGACAAATGACCACTTTAGTATTGTAAACTAAGCAAAATCTATTAATTCCTTATTCTTGACAGCACTATAACCATCTCCTAGCTAAATATAATATTCCTTCCAAACACATTATAAAGACAGATGCTTTGCATGGCTCTGGTGTTTAATTTTTTTTTTTTTTAGTTATGAAAATAAAATTTAGAGTCCCAGCATGTGAAATAGTTACACAAAACTTGGCAATCTGACCTAAGCCAGGAAGATGTGGAACGATCTGTTTTCAGTTCATTTTATTCATTCAATCTTGTGAAGTGTTGGGGGAAGGGTATGTGGTAGTATTGATAAATTTAGAGATTCTGTAGCACTAATGTTAATGTTTGCAAATTCACTTCCTTTTTTTAGTCTTTTCTTAGGCTTTTCATTTTGTATAATTTGTTATTGATATTTAATCTCAATAAACATTATCTCAGATGTTTATAATGAAGTTATAGATAGATGCTAGTCTGTCAATTTATATATGTGTATATATAAACATAGATATGTGTATATACATGTTTATATATGTATACAGCAGTTTTACCAGGAAAGAATCCATTAATGCTTTTATTCCTTCTAGATAGCTTAGATAAATATATTTTCTGTATTTTTCCTCAGACAGTGAGCATATTTTAACTTTGTTTTGCTTTCAGACAGCTATTCATGCAGTCATGCAAACTCTGAATGGAAAAATCTATAGTGAATTATTGCAGCTGTCTGAAAAAGAGAGTGGACATATTTTTAATTTCATTTCATTGCCTTTATCCATACCTAAGAAGTACAGACATATCTTACTTTCTTAGTAAGATATTCCCACTGCACAATAATATGTTTCTTTTGTAATTTGTTTGCTGGCCACCAAGTGCTCCTTAGTTTTTAAATACATTTGGAGATTTGCTGCAAACTTGAAGAAGAAATTACCTCCTAATTGAGACTGTCCCTTTTTTCTTTTTTTTTTTTTTTAATCTTAGTTTTATTTCAGTTGATATGTTTTATGTTTGTTATTTATTTGTATGTTGTGTGGTATGTGGAAGAAGATTTACATTGAACTTTTGTTATATGTACGTTGTTTTCATTATATAGACTGCTTGAGAATAGTGCGCTCCTGGGTGATTTTGAACATGCTACAATGACATGTGAAACTATCGTCCTTGGAAACACCAGCTAGAGGTTTTATGGACTCTCTGACCAGCTATTCTCATATCATGACAAAATTCAGCAAACAGTGTTGAGTAAAATTACTAGAAGGCAATAAGACTTTGTTTATTATGCTTATCAGTCATTTATCTTTTTCTTTTTCTCTCTTTATTGCAAGTTAAATTCCCAATTTCAGGAACAATTTATTGAAATCAGGTATATAGCCATTCATGATCACTTCAATAGAAATGTTTGTTGGATAAGCATCTAGCAATATGACTGAATTTGACATCGAGAAAATAATCTGCATGTATGTTACTGAATATTTGAGTTGGCAAAAATCCCTTTCTTAGATACATTGTAAAAAGCATGCATTCACAACTATTGCTGTTACTGTTCCATTTCTGTGTCATATGCTTGCTACTTGTAACTTTTTATATAAAGATACATAAAACAATGTATAATAATTTCTTACCTTGAGTTTAATGGCAATGTTTTCTTTTAACAAATTTACAAATCTTGTGTAATTCAGAAGATCAAGCTCAACAAGTAGCTTCTAGGAACTTGAAACCCAGATACATCAGAGAATCAGCTCTCTCTCATCCCTTACTTACTGAAAAGCAAAATACCTTATTTTTTTAATATTTAAATGAATTCATAATACAGAAAGTTGATCACCTAGTTGATTCCAGTTAAAAGGTCTTTGATAACCTTTCTATTTAATTCTGTACTCTTAACTAATTTATTTCCATCGCAATTATTAGGAAGTTTGCTTCAGTGTAACAGAGTAGTAGATTTTTATCAGTTATACAAATGTTATCGCTGGTCTCCAATTTTAGAGATATAGAGATAAACCAGTTCCTTATGCAAGATAAAGTGTTATTCATAATTCAAGCTATAAACATTAGTAACCAACACTGAAATCAAACCTGAGAGGTTAAGTCGTTAAGGAGTTATTGTAGGTTTAAAAGCCACAATTATGTAAAGTTGAAAAGCCCTTCATTTACGAACTCAATAACCATGCATAAAAGCATAGTTTCATTATATTTAAAGTATTTTCTTACAAACCCTGTTTCAAAACAAATTCCAGTTCTTTCTTAAACGTATTTTGTCATTCATGTTTTAAGGTTTTCCTGTATAAAAATATTGCTAGTTTTATTGAAAACTAGGAAGAAATCCATGGATCTTCCCAAAGTATAAGTAGGTGGGAAAAGAGAAAACCTGAAAGACTGATATAAAAAATAAGGTGATCTATATCAGCTATTTAAATATATAGTATGTAATTTCCATAAATAAAAATACAGGAAATCTGATTTCTACAAAACAATTTCTACAAATATTATTTAGGAATACAAGAGAAGAAGAATGGTTTCAGCTATTTGCCTCTTTTTTTTTTTGTTACACTATATTTGTAATGTATTATACATAATTTGATTTAGGTTGATTAATTATTTTGTTATCACATATTAGCTGCAAAAAACAGTCCACCATCCTCTGCAGTAATCATGAGTCATTGAGTCATCTCTCTGTTACCTGCATTTTTTGCATGCACTAATAGCTCATTTCCAGATCTATCTCTTTTCAAGTTCATATATTGTATCACTGTTTTTTCCTTAGTCTTTACAAGTCCTTTCTCATGATCCTTCCTTAATTATATCATGTTAAGATATTTGCTACATCCATGCTTAAAATGGTTGCCTCCATGCATCCATTATAAAATCAAAGCAGAGTGAAAGACTTGCTGAAATAAATGCATATACATGCACACACATTTATGTATATTTATAAATATTTGCTAATGGATATAGTGTATAAATAAATATATAAGGAGAAATCTAAGTATGTGAATTTAGCTTTGAATGAATTATATTGGTCACCTAGAAAAATGTTGAAGCCTTGGATGTTAAAGTTGCTATATATTTAAGTGCCTAAATCCCACTGAAACATACAGTTGGTCTAGTTCCTCCTGGACAAGCACACAAAGAAATCCATTTTATGATTTTTCCAGTGAAGTATTGACTGAGATAACTTAACTGTAGAAGACATGGATATTAATAATTGTGTTGCATGCACATCCTTGCTTTCTTAAAAAAAACCAAACTTACTTCATCAGGGAAAATGAGTGAGAAACACAAAAACCTGTGTAAATAGAACAGGCCAAACAAAGTGAGAACGGTAATGCTTACTTGATCTTGGAAACTCCTTTAGAAACATGTTGTCTAATAGCTAGGTATACCCTTAGACAAAAACACCATTGCAATGACAAAATATTTTTATATTGGGGGAATAGGGTAAAATTATAAAATTATATATTAAAAAATAAGCAGAAATAAATTAAAACCCAATTAAAATATTATAATTGAAATATTTCATTTCAAAGAATTATATTCTGTACATAGTCAGTGGAAATAATAGCCTAGTCCACTATGCTACAATAGCAGGGTATCTTAATGGGATCTATAAAACTCAAAATACTAATATAAAAGGGGTTGTTGCTGAAAGTAAACAGTTTGCCTTTCCTATGAAGAATTTTGATTATTATGAAGCCAATTTTTAAAAACCAGAAAGCAGTTCAAGCAAGCTGGTTCAAACAGACAAGCTCATTCAAGCAACTTCAAGTTCATGCAAGTTCAATTAGCTATAAAGAGAATACACAAAACTGGTATTTGACCACATATTATAAATTAAATTTAACCTACTCTATTACACCTATTCTGTTTTATGGAAAGAAGGACTGGCTTGTTAGATTAACACAGCTACATGTATTCTGTGTAACAATTTAGCAAATTACTGTGGATCACCTGAGTTGGTAGCATTAGCTTCATACATTTTACCTCATGTTTGCCTTAAACTAAAACTAAGAATGGTAGTTACTAGACCATTTTGGTTTATCTGGTGAAATGTGTGTGATGTATACCCATGCTGACAGTACACTTATTTCTTGTATATTTTTTAAAGAGGAGTTTTTGTTATCACAGTGCATTTCCATATTGTTCATACTCTTGCTTTTTTTTTTCCTCATGAGTTTAGTGTTACGTATATACTTTTCTTTTTAGATGGTAGTGTGAACAACCACTCCCAATCATTTTTCTCTGCTCCAGGAAATATGGCTTTTTCAGTTTGTGAAGTCTTCTCTGCATCATCATTTAAAAATCTGAGGAAGTCCATTTTGTAAACGATCCCAGTGTAAACATTTTCTATCTTCCCAATTCTAAAAACAGCTTGAAGAAAAAAAAGATGCTCTGAGGAATGTTGATACCTTATCCTTCTATTGTTCTCCATTTTTATGCTGGACTTATTCTCTTTACCCTAGCAATGATGTAACCAATGGGAGGGAATAAGAGAAAATAGAAAGGTTTTCTTCTCAAAAGAAATTTATAGCACCAAAAAAAAAAAATGCAGACAAAGAAAAGAAACAGAGAAAGGTATGCTAATTAGAAGAAAGTATGAAGGATTGTTGCTCATACCCATTCACAAATTTACAGACACGTTTAGGACAGAAAAATTCCTTAACCGCCAAATAAAAATGTATTGTCTAAGTCCAAATCTGAAAGATAGCTCTAATACCTGTGCTTTATAGAACACTGTCCTGAAAACAAGAAGCTGGCCTTTTGTTTTTTCTTGTGTTCTAATTTATGTGCAATCTCCCTGCTACCACAAAGATACTCCAGCTGAGGGAGCATAGCTGAAGAGCTAAGT